CTCCCCCTTGGGAGTGGTGACAGATGTTACCATTTCAACCGGGTACTGTTGTTTTACATTTCATTTGTGGCTCATTTCCCCAGCTGGACTTTAAGTCCAAAAGCAGGGATCAATGTCTCTTATTATTCTCTGCCTTCTAAAAGCATCTTGTAAGCCTTGTACATGATACACATTTCATAAATATACGTGAATGAATGTGGGTATATTTAACTGCAGACTAGTGCTCATTGATAAATCCTTTATCACAGAGTGGTACATTCATGAAAGGGTAAGCTCTTGGGCTTTTAAGTTTGGAGGCAGAGCAGCGTGCAGATCTCTGACCTATGAAAAGTGCTACATGCTCTCTGAGCCTGTGTTCACATTTGTGGAGTGGGAATAACAATTACCTTGCACATTTGGTTTTTAGGGATTAAGTAGAGTGTTCACGAGGTTCCCGGCAAAATGCCTAATACCTGTGGTTCTCCTTAAATGGTAGCTGCTTGCTATTATTATTATAGTTAAAAGTACCTCACCGAATAATAGATGGGGCTGCTGTAAATGTTTATCTTCAGATGTAAAATAATAAACAACTGACTCTCTCTGAGCAAAGTTGATATTCTTTCTTCTTTTTCTATTTTGTATTTTTTTTTAATGTCTAGTATTTTCAGCTTTAAGTAACAGATTATCCAGAGGTTTGTATGGATTCCCTATAAAGATGAGAAGAGACACAAACAGCCATTTGACCAGTCGCAGGCTCCAGGCTGCACCCAGAGCAATACAATCAGGGTTCAAGTTTATGCTTCACAAACCTCCTCTGTTCACAGCCGTGATTATTGAGACTTTTCTCCTATTACTGAGGAGCAAGAAGCACCCAGAATGAAGAGTACTCATCCTACCTGAAATGAGAAGTAGAAACTTCCAGCTTTTTGTACTACGGGTAGGAGATTCACCAGTCCCCAAGAATGAGCCAGATACTGGGATCTCCCAATGCATGTCTTAGGGACACTGCGAGAGAAACAGTCACAAAAGTGGCAATTTGATTTGTTTACTCCTTTAAAACATTGTCAGTTAGGTTATCAGAGATTCTGTGTTATGGAGGAAATAATAAATACAATTTCTGAATACAAATAGTAATTACAGTTTTATTTCTGAAGGCAAAAAATGGCAACAACGAAGTATCTAAGAATAAGGTGGATAGTGATAAACCATAATATATTCACTTGATAGAATGGTAAGCAGTCATTTAAAATATGTTCTTAGATATATGGGAATATATCTAAGTAATAGAATATGGAATAATATGGGAAAATGTAATAACATATGGAAAAATTTTCTGAGTACATTTTAAGTAAAAAATAAAAAAGGATAAAATTTAGTTTAGATTTAGAGCTTTCTCCAGCTCACGAGTGATGCAGACAGAGCCTTCCCAGTCTTGCCTGTCTCTTACAATAGCCAATAAAAAGCCTGTACTTAGGTGGTGGGATTGTGACATCATCAACAATCCAGCCAATCTCCCTGATCATTATTTGCATGGCTTGCTTCTCCTAATCCAACGGAACCCAATTTCTTTTAAGGAGAGATTGAGTGAAAGTGAAATCTCCAAAACAAAGCAAAGAAAATTACATTAACAAAGGAGTATTTGTAATGATGTTGGTATCAGAATCCAGTGGTAAAAACTGTTGTAACTAGTCTCTCTAGAGTATTTTTACCTTCTAAGCGAAGCACTCAGTATGTTAAATCTTAAAACATCTCTGACAACTGCCTACCCATTTGATGTGTCAAATGTTCTTTAAAGAATTCTGACAGAGTAAGAAACAATTTTCTTGGATAATCTACAAGCTTCTTCCTATTGAGAAACAGAGAAGCCTTTTATTTCTCAGACTTACCGGCTTTTATAAAAAGAAAAAAGAAACCCTACTCAATGCCTACCTGTTGATCTTGGCACCATATCCACTATAATAAAGCTTTGTAAGTTTATCAAGCTAAATGAATTGGCTGTTGACAAGGGAACGAGATTCCATAAACCTGATCTTTGTCCTGCACGGTTATACAGTTACTGATGTAGCAAATTTGATAAACCAGGAGTGTTCCCTGTCATTAGCCTAACTGGGATTTCCTCTCACAAAAAGCATTAAGCTTTGTGGGATAATTCGGCTTTTCTCATGTGGCAGACAGAGTGCTTAGACAAGCTATTTATTTTTGTTTCATTCAGGTTTACTGAGCCCATCTGTATGTCAAGCATTTTCATATGCGTTTCTAATTTAATCCTTACAATAACCATGTGGAGATGGATATTATTAGTCCCTGTTCATAGATGAGAAAACCAAGAATGAGAGACATTAAGTGATTTGGTTGCCCAAGAACACACTGGAAGGACAGAACCAGAATTCTTATAAGGATTTTTTTTAAACCAAAACCAGTCAGTGTTCTTCCCACTATACCAAGTTATTTATTTGTAATTAATAGTGATACCAAAGCAGAATCGAAAACGCTACTCGCATACCATATATAATCTGCACTGTAACTTTGTAAATTTTTGTCTTACCTTGAACATCAAAACATAGTATATACCTGTATTTTTCCAAGGAAGCCTAGAATAATAGAACAATCCAATCCTTTCAACAGAATTTCAAAGTACTTTCAAGTTCTACTTATCTTAGGTACTCAAGAACTTACTATGGCTACTGAAAATCTGCCCTCTGCTAAAAACTGGCAGTTGTAGGTTACACAGGTCTCTACATAGATTTCCCAGTGAAATCTCTTTGCCAGCAGCCTGTTTGTGCTATGACACTCAGAGAAAGTCAGAAATGGGTGAAAAACATTTGAACTCCCAAGGATAGAAACAGTGGAGTGTACAACAGTTTTGAAACTGAATGACATCTCTGATAATAGCTATGGCCAGGTGATGTCTAAGTGCACCCTGTAAGATAGGTACTTTCATTATCCACAGTTTAAATTAGAAACTGGGCATAAAGAGGTGAGATTACTTGCCCCCAGTCACATGGTAAATGGGAAGCAGAGCCAGGATTTGTCCCCAAGCAGTCTGGTCACAGAGTCTGAGCCCTTAACCACTATGCTATATGGCCTCTTTAAAATGGAATGTAAAGTATAGCTGATTTCATGAAACACACCATGGATTTTTTTTGCTGATCTGCATTATAACTTGCTAAATATGGCCACAAATAGGAAATTTGGCTATCATGCTATGTGTATATGGTAATATAAACATCAAACCTAGTGAGAAATGAGACATAATTCAAAATGATAATGGGCTCTGCTTCTTAAAACTTCACATCGATTCCCCTCCACTGTTTTCAGCTTAGAGTCAGGGGTCATGAATGTGTGTCCACCTGTACTCACCATGTTGTCCACAACTTGTGGCCCAAGACTTTCCCCAGGGTCTGTGCAGCCCCGGCACTTCTCTGGGGCGGGTCAAGCAGGGGTCAGTGGACCCCTCTGTCTGATGCCTAGCACCAGGGCAGTCTCCTCCGCTGGCTCTGTCTAGTCCTGCCACGGTCTTCACTGGCATGCTGCCTTTCCCTCACCACTAAAAATGCTAAAAGCTTGCAGCTTGCGTTTCCTCATTGTGCCTGATATGGTGTAGTGGATGTGGGAGGTGGTTCTATATTCCCAGCCCATCCTAAATTCCTATCTTCTAAAAACGGAGATGCCTAGTTTGGTAAGTAACTGCCTGACTGAACGAAATTCTTAACAACTTAGGCTTTTCTAGGATACACATTCAAATGAGTGGCTGGCATGGGAAAAATACGGGACAGAGTCAGAAAACTCACAGCCCTAGTAAGACTGAAGTGAGGCTAGAATGGCATGATGGCTGTAAAGATTGGTAAACTGGAAAATGTTTTAGATCTGACCACTGTGACTCACAGACTGAGTGGCCCTTCACTACAGTCTAAGCCAATAGTTCTCAAATGTTAGTTCGCATCAGAATTACCTGGAGGGCCCAGTATTTCTGATTCAGTATGTCTTGCTGGTGGTCAGTAATTCGCATTTCTATCAAGTTTCCAGGAGCTGCTCCTGCTGGTCCGAGGACCATAACTTGAGAACCATTTGGTCTAGACTGCGGGAGGGTCGACACTGTTATACCTACTGCAAGCATACACGGGCTCTCAGATGGGGTTGCTACTCTGCTTTGTATCTTGGTAACCCAATAATTTGCTCTCTTCTGCCTGCAGATTACTCAGGGCAGTTTGGCTGAGATTTATGGGAAAAGAGATTGCATTCTTTTTCTTCTCTTTCATATGTATCAACCTCCTGCCGTCAGTATCCCTTCTTATTTAAAAGCAGCTTCAGTTTGCAAGGGACTCTCACATTACTGTGTTAAATATGAAATTACCTTCTAATACCTGAGCAAAAGGTAAAACTCATAAGAGATAGTTACTTAAAGTGGGGGAAAGGGTGATGGGGCAGAAATACCCCACTTCCACCCCCTTGCATTTGCAGCTATGAATGTAGGAGGTATAGATTTGTCTTTCAAACCAAGCATGCTAAGGGGTTCATCGTTTTTCTCGTTGAAAGGATGTAGGTACGTAACATGCAAAGTTAGGTCAAAAAAGCAGTGATGATAATAAACATCCCTACTGCGCCCCACCCTGCCAGATAAAACGAGCGTGTGGGAGAAACCTCCAGAGAGCCTTTCCAGGGAGGGTCCCTCACGCCTCGCTGAGACCGCGTGTCGGGTGGCGCGTCGTCGCCGCCCCTCCTCGGCAGCCGGCTCTCCGCAGTGCTAAGACGCAGCAGCACAGCGCCCCAGACCTCTCTTGGGGGATCGCACGGTGCAACCAACCCTAAAAACGTGGCCGCGCGACGGCCCCCCTCCAGCCTTCCGGGCTTCCCATTGGCCCGCTGCCGTTGTCACTCGCTCCTCGCCTGGCCTGCGGCTCCCGGGAGGAGGTGCTGGGCGGGGTAGGTTGCGCGCGCCGCGGGCTCGGGTCCCGGCTTTGCAGCAGGCGGCGCGGCGGGCGCGCGGGCCGGGGAGCGGGCCGGGCACGCTGCGGGCTCCGCGGCCCGCCGGGGCGGGGCGGGGTCCGGCGGCAGGGCCGGGGGCCGAGGGCGGCCGACGGGGACCCGCCCGGCCGGCTGCCCCATGCCTTGCCTCGCCCAGCAGCCCGGCCGGCCGGGAGGGATGCGCTGTGCCTCCCAGCTCCCCTGCACCCTGCCCGTGCCCTGAAGCAGAAAGTTTGGGGGCCGGGGGCTGCCTTCCCTCTCCGGCTGCAATGACTGTCCCAGGACTCCAGCTGTCAAGCCTCGACCATGACCTGCCTCTGCTCCCCAGGTCGTAATGAACTATTCTAAGCTGTCACCAAGGATCCCCTTCTTTGCCCCTCCCTCACCCTCTTGTAAAAAGATTTATTTTTAAATTCAAGAAATTGTGATCAGCCGAGTCCGCTCCTCGTTAATAATTTAGACCCCGGGCCGCGTTTCTGAGTATAAGAGAGGGTGCGGCCCCCCCGCCCCCCGCCAAGACGGCGCGCTGGAAGGACAGATTCCCCTTGCCGACTCACATACACCATGAAGAGGTGCAAATCGGACGACCTGCAGCAACAGCAGGGCGAGGAGGATGGGGCCGGGCTGGAAGATGCCGCTTGCCACCTGCTGGGCGCGGACCTCCGGCCTGGCGAGGCCACGGGTGCTAACTCTGCCGGCGGGCCAACTTCAGATGTGGGCGCTGCCGCGGCACCCAACCCGGGTCCCCGAAGCAAGCCTCCTGATTTAAAGGTGAGCGCAGACCCTCCCCTGGCAAGCCCAGCCATGCACTTAGCTTTCCCCGCCCTGCGCAGAAGTGCCTTACTTGGGGATGCCAGGCAAAGGTCAGAGAGGATGTTCGGCCAGAGCACTGGGAGGGACCTCAGGTACCATTTGTGCCTTTCCATCTTTCAGCTCCATTCCAGGCCTCTGTGTTTGTTCCTTATTATTCAGCAGACGTTCTAGTGATTCACCCTTCCGAGATGGTTTGAATGATGTGTCTGAAGTGCTATTCGCAGACAAAGGGTTGGAGAAATCCAAGATGCTAACCAAAAAGCTAACATCACTTTCTCGCCCATAAGATGGCAGGGGAAGAAAATAGTGCGGGAGGCCAAGCAGAGGACCATTAGTTTCCTTTGCTGAGTTAGTTTCCTGCTTCTGAGACCTTCCTGGATGAAGCTCAGTTTGTTCATCTGTGAAAGGGGAGTGTGGACTTCTTGCCGTTAGGTGGAGCCAGAGGTTAAGCTAGTGCTTGGAGATCGCTGCCTGCCTGCTGAACCAACCCCTAGGGTGGAGAACTGACAGGTGGCCAAGTGACGCTTGGGCTGGTTTGGGGCACACAGGCTGAGCCGGCAGTTAGAACCACAAACCCAAAAAGAGGATCACACGCAGCTGGGAGCTGTTTATTTTCCTGCCTGAGGTTACGGAGACAATTATCAAGCTGTATTGAGTATGTCTCCAAATTAAAACAACAGCCCAGATAAATAATGCACGATTGCTGGAGCTCGCACAGGGACTGCAGGCTCGGGCTTCTCAAGCCAGCTCACCATGGGACTGAGCAAGATGTCAGACCAAGGAAGGAACTTAGATGCCTTGGAGATTGATGCCTCGGGGAGATTTTCTCCAGAGGGGGTGCAAGGTCTGGGCTAGGGGAGCCAAAGGACTCCGTTATGTTAAATAAAGCCTGTATCCTATGGCAGCAGCCACTAAGGAGCTCACCAGAATAAGCCAATGACATTCCTCGTCTGGCCTGAGGAGCTCAGAGTCAGGAAGCCAGAGTGCAGGTGAGTGTGCTCTTACCTGTGTGTGTTACCTGCGTGCCGTGGGGAGCAGTGAGAAGGGGGACAGCTAGCTCCTTGTGTGGACTTTAAAAAGAATTATGGTGATTATTCAAATGTGACCCCTGGGTCTACTCTGCCCTTCTGAGAGGCTCGGGGCATCCTTGTGCCTGCAGATGCGCTCCACTGGGTAGGCTCTGCACGGGAAGCTTGTGCTTCAGTCAAGCCCGAGGAGTCCTTGGTGCCTGTCCCAGCTGTCACCCCTGAGCCCACTCTGTGACGGGGAAACAGGTGCCTTAATGCTGATGTGGGGCTGTGGGCGAGCCTTGTGCTGCAGACCTTTACTTCACCTGGGCAGATCCTGATGAGCGGCCAGCAAACTAGATCCTGTGACCAGGTGGGCCCCTTGCCCTGAGTCCATGAGAAGCAGCCCTGGACACCCCCCTACCCTCCAATTCAAGCCAACAGAGGCAACTGCCCGCTCCATTCATTTCCCCCGGTCGCCTTGAGGAGAGAAGGTGGGCCGGCTGTGGTGAGGGGGCTGCAGTATCTTTGTCTCTGTAGATAGAGCTGCCTTCAGAAGCTTGTCCTTCACCTTTCTGTATCATTTCTCTCCCTTGTGTGTGTGTGTGTGTGTGTGTGTGTGTGTGCGCGCGTGTGCGTGTGCGTGCACGTGTGTGTGTGTGTGTGTGTGTGTGTGTGTGTGTGTGTGTGTGTGTGTGAGAGACAACTCTTCTGGCCCTAGGCAGATATAGTAAAACTGTTCATCTGCTATTAACTGCTGAATTTTCCTGAATCAGAATTGAGATCAGGCGTGAGAAAAGGAGCCTCCGAAACAACAATGACAAAACATACCACTGAGGTTGGTCACAGCTATGTGGACCCATGCTGGCAACAAAGAGGAGAAACATGGCTGCTGCTGGTGCAGTGGGAGCATGGGGAGAGAGGAGCAAGGCCTTTCCCTGTTTATCTCTGTCTGCTTTATCACAACATGTTTACCGTATAGGGACTTCAGAGCCAGCCATGAACTTGGGAGCCATTGCAACTTTGATTTGCTGTGTGATCTCAGGCAAATCACTCAACTTTTCTGAGCCTTTTTCTGGGAAAGGTACTAGGATTAGTGACGTGTTCCAGTGCTGGTAAAGTTGTTTTCCAATGATGGAAAAATTTCTTTACTGGCTCTAGCACTGAGTAGAAGCTGACTTATTTTATTTAGATTTGCTGGTGGTGCCAGAAAGGGGCAAGTTTAATTTTTAGCACCCCCATCCCATACCTGTGGTTGGCCTAGGGAGACCAGCAATTCCGGCTTACTTTTGTTCTCATTTTAGATTTGGGAGATAAGGACTGTTGACCCCTTAGCTCCACTACTATTTTCTTTTTACAGCTTTAGGCATTGTGATGGAGGAAATCGTTTTAAAAAGGGAGCAAAAAATAAGGGGCTTTGTCTGAAGCACCTGAATGGAGCTTGAGAGAGGGGGGGGTTTTAATCTTTGCCACAGAGATCTGAATGGTGCCCTCACTAGGGGCAGCCAGAGGGTTCAAGGGCTCTGTGGTCCTCCTAAACTGTGGAGCATATTACTCCATTCTTCAAATTTCTGCTACAGTGGCCTGGGATCTGTGATTATGGGGTGGGAAGAGCCAATGAAAAGGAAAAAGTTAAGCAGCAAACTTAAAGGAGCAGTTATAAAATCATTACTGAAAAATAACCTGAAAATGGACAGTGGATTTTGTCACAGGAACTGGAACTTTGGGGGCCTTCTCTACCACCCCACACACGTGATGTGACCTTGCAGGCAGAGCTCAGCAGAGGCTCCTGCAACAGGAGCTCAACAATTCAGTCTCGTTGCCCAGCCCCTGGTGGTTTGGTTTCCTCTCTGACCACTTGAGTTCATGTCTGGATTCATTTGTCATCATTATCTAGTCCTTTGCTGCTAACAGATTCCCTGCTAGTTGGAAGGAGATGCCAGGATTGCTGGTAACAGAGAGAGTTGGCTGACCAAAAGTGCATGGAATTCTCCAGCAAGAAAACCCAGCTCTAGTGAGAATGGGAGTGGGGAAGAGCTCAAGAAAACTGCAGAAAGGGATGTGCAGCACACATTCCCGTTAAAAATACAGCACGTGGTAGTTATTGCTAAGGCCTGGGGGGAGTGGCTGAGCGCAGCAGTCCGCTGGTTCTGTCCTGATGAGAATTAGAAGCCTGAAAGCAGGGGACAAAATCGCCGACCTCCCTGTCTCTCCCACCCCCTGTACAGCTGGAAGAACTGTGCCTTTCCTAAAGGGAAGACTGGGTGTGCTGACCAGAGGCCTTCCCCTGGACCTCCCCCCAGCTTCTCTTTCTCCTCACAGAAGCCCCTGTGAATACTTACCCCAGGGGACTTCTAAGCAGGATTAATATTTTCCCCAGAAGAGAAAAGGGGCATTCTGAATTCCAGTATTTCCGTTCTGGCTCCAGGACTCAAAACTTTTGACTGAAAACTCATCTGGCTTCTGTTCACATCATAGCCCTGATCATCCTGCCTGAGATCAGGAAAAGCAATCAGGAGCCAAATAGCTGGGAGAGAGTCACAGCGAATCCTATAGGATTCTCCTACTGTCTCACCACCTTTACTGGCTGCACAGGGGCTCCGGCCCCCACTGAATGCCCCAAGTTCCTTCATCACTCCTGTAGGGGACACCCCCCCGAGAAGGGATCATGGGTCAGCAGATACTGAGCGCCCTCAATGGGAAAGGCACTGTTTTAAATTGTGAAATATGACATGCCTATAAAAGTGTCTGAAAACATATATGTGCAGTTTAAATAACAACAGCAAAACAGACACCCCATCTACCTACCTACCACCCAAGTCAAGAGAGACAACATTGACTTTCCCAAGAAGCTTCTGTGTGATTTTTCGGTTCTTTTATTAGTTTTCCTTTTTAAAAAAAAAAAAAAAAAAGCCCAGGATTTTGATTAAATGTATGGGTCTCAGTTTCTCCAAGCTACTTCATGGGAATGTGGGTGGGATGAAGGAGCGTGTGTGATCTGCGTGTCTGCGCTTCATCCTGAGGCTCCCAGTTCTGGTGAAATGTTTGGGCTTGAGACCCCTGCTATCTGGGATGGGAACTGGGCTCTGGGATAGGTTTCATCAGAGGAGGAGGAGTGGAAGCAGACCTGAGAACAGAAAAAGGGGGACTTGGTTCTGTGGCAGCAGGTACTGCCTTTGTCTCCAGGGGAGCTCCCAGTTGAACAGGATGAAATGCTTGCAAGAAAATCATACAACAGGGACACATAGATTTAACGGTGCTGCAAGTATCATTCAGTGGAATTAGAAACCTATAGAATTCACCAGAAGAGGTGGGTTTAGAGCATGCTATTAAAGAAAGGGAGGAATGCTAATTACCAAACAGGAGGAGAGGGGCTTTCTAAATGGGGGAAGTGAAATGCAAAGTGCCAAGTCTTTTTGTCTTGCCAGTGTCCTTTTTGACTGGAAGAGCAGTTTTCCTTGTAAATAGTCAGGAACAGTGGAGGGTGGTGAAGAACGCTGAGGTTGCCTGTTTTTATTCCTCCTGCACCTGTGTGAGGAGGACGGTGGGTCCCGAGGCCTGGGATTGGCCCGTCCCCTCCCACTGCCTTCAGGAATATTCAGAGCAGCCCCGAGTGTGGGCTTGGGAGGAACCATGCCCCCTATGGGAAAGCATGTGGCAATCGAAGCTCTCTGTTCTCCTGCCACATTTGGGGTTCTAGATGAATTCCCAGCTGTCCTAGTTGTTCTAGTGGGAACCATCTTGCAGGCTTAGTATTTACAGAATGTGCTTCTTTTTGTGAATCTAATTGTGCCTTAGCTGCCAATTCGATTAACAGGACTCCCTCAACAAGGGACTAAAACATCCAATAGGACTTGAATTTTGCTTTGGTTAAAAAAAAAATGTGGGTGTCAGGAGCTGAGGAAAGCAGCTCTGGTGACTTCTCAGTGGTTGTCTTGGAGGACAACTCAA